TTTAATTATTCCTCCGTTAAATAATAATACTTAAACAACAATTAAAGATAGCTATTTCATGACAAATTAATACTATTCAATTATATCACGAAGAGAAGTTAATTCAGATAGAAACACTTGTTGAGAAAGAAAGAAGAGAGAAGAAGGAAATTTCGATGTAAATTAATATTTAATTTAATCGCCCATTGCAATCCGAAGATAATAAATTCGTTGGTATGTTGCAATTTACCTATCGAGTGATTATTCGACACCATAAACAATATCGCACTCGAAAGAATAATGGGTACCGTGTCTGTCACGCCATCCCTATCGCCGCTATTCCTAGTATCGTCGATAATTATCGTCTTTGGATGGATAGAACGAAGTGGGTCATCCGAAAATATCCGCGTCTAAAGGTGTTCGATCACACGCGCCGGATTTTATTCGTCCTGACAGCGTAATTTCGCGTCCTCGACCGAGCCAGCGCGTTTTATGGCCACGACACACGAGGAAGCATCAAGATATAAAATTTCTAGGGAATATAGTGCCTCCAATAGATACACAGATATCAATAGAGACACGGTATAATAATTGCAAGGAAGAATCGATCGCGGATAACATGTGATCTCTCGGAGGACACGAAGAAGGCACTATAACATCGACGGTTGTTTGGAAATTAAACATACGAGAAGAAAAAGATATAAATGAGCAACTTTTTAATGAAAATTATATGGAGTATTTCGAGCTCATGCTGGAACGTTTTTCTTGGCTACAGATATTTTTTTTTTCACTTTTTTTTCTAAATTAAAATACCGAAGTATTGATATACGAAGCGATTTTTCCTAAAGCATCTAAAAATTTTACCAAAGAGATAGAGCTGAAAATAATTTTGTTAGGCCATAAAAATTATTATGTTTAACGATGATACCAAAATAAAAAAATTGTTGTTTCAATGATCAATTTGAACATATATTATTTGAGCCCAATAAAATTATTTCAAATCTGTATCTGGTCAACTTTTTCTGCAAAACAATTTTTTTTCTTTTAGTATAATTTTTCGTAAATTGCGCTTGAAAAACTACGTATTATGATACGATAGTTGTATTATGAAATTATTATAATATCATATATAATATTATTTAAATTAAATTGAATTGCCAACCACAATGTACGAAACTGTCTTCAGTTCAATCAAAATATATCCACAAGATTTTAACTTGAAATGTATAATCGCATTATATACGTCACGTTATAAAAATAGAAAGGCTGAAATAAACAATTCACATTCCTCCGATTTTTCTCCGTTAGAAACGTGTGCACTCGAGTAATTACAGAATCCGCTGAATTCCACACCACTATGCGCGCTGGATTAATTAGTATTGATTATTCTATATCATTGAGCTTGTATACATCCGGTCCTTTAATTCATTTATCGAGCAGACGCGATACAAAAAGAAATTAAGCAAGCCACGCGTAAAATAATATTACGATCAGTGATTTATTTTTATAGCGATTAATTGGAGAATTTCAAGCGTTTCGAATATCTTGAAAAAATCTAGGAACCATAATTGGAAACATTTTTAGAGAAAATTCGATTCTATCCGAGCGATTCGCAGATTTTCTCTCGAGAAAGCCTCGAGTAATTAAGAAATTATTTAATTATCATGAATCGAAAAATGGGGATAAATTGCTGCAATCTCGAGAAATTCAATTTCCGGCACTTTTCCGTTATGAGAAAACAAAATGCAAAAATCTTTCTCACACGGAAAGAAATTTGTTGAAGTATTGAAAAATTTAGCCAAATGCAGACCTAAGAATAGTTTTGTTTAATCGTGAAAATAATTATAAGAGGCATAATAATATTGCAAAAATTTTTACATTTTAACAATCAATTTGAGCGCCAACAAAATTCAATGAAACTTTTATATATATTTCAACAAAAGCATTTTTCTTGCATGCGTCAGCGAGACGGTTGCATCGGTTTCAACGACACAGAGTTCAACGTGAGACCTAGCGGTCCAAGTCATGTGGAATCTGCGAATTGAATTTTCTCAGTTTTAAAGTTCGTTTTCCTTCAGCCCCCAGGCTCCGAGGCCGGATCGGACTGTGTCCGATGTGTCCGTCGTAAGAAACGAAAGACCTCGAGAGAGATCGGGAATTCATGACGGCGCGCCTCGATAGCTCCGTTGTGCTCTGCCACCTGCATTTTTAAATCAACGGAATGGAGGAGGAACGCCTGCGGCCTGGGGACGCCAGGGCGGGCAGAGAGGTGGTGCACTTAATGCGTGCATTATTAATCGGCGCCCGCGCGTGTATATACCCTGATCCTACGAATACGGCTACGGATACCCGTGTATTTCCGCCGTTTCTTACCGCGATATCGCGCACGGAGTGGCCCCTGAAGGCCGTGTGTACGCCGCGAGAAGCGTAAAATAATCGGTTCGCCTTAGATCTTGGAGATATCCTGGAGTCACCGTTAGGCGCATCTTAACGGACGGTGAGGTATATTCAAGAGCGAGGAGAAATAAAAGCAAACGAAAGTTCTGCAACTTTGCGAATAGTAGAGATATTAAGGATCGTGTATACGTGGAAATTCAAAACGAATATCGTTGCGAAAAGACCTTGCGACCGATGTACGTACATTCGACAAAAGCGCGTTCGCCCTTTGCTGTTGTTCCACGTTATCCGTGTTGATTCGGCGTAACGTGTTCTCAAAATTGTTTAGCTGTCGTTCGGATCGACGGGAAGGGAGTAACACAGTTAAAATCGCCGAGAACGGACGCGGCTGGAAACGGCGTGTGCGCATGTGCACGCTGTACAAATTCGGTATGCGAGTTGAATTTTCAGCGTTGTATGTACGGGAATCTCTGAGGCTTGCGCGAGGGAACGTAGGGGACGTAGGGGTTTTTCCGTGCCGATCATCGGAATCTGAATCTGGAATTACACGGATCGTCTCTCCCTTTCTTCCTCTTTTTCTCTCTTTCATTTCAATATACGCACGCGTATTATATGTATAATATATATATATATATATATATATATATATATTTTAGTGTTACA